GGGTTTTACTGTTTGTTCTTGTTAAATAATAAAATTACAGCTCATTTCAGGGTCTATATAGACTAAAATAGCATTTTTTAAAAACGTCTTTAAAATGATAGTGAGCAATAAGATAATGTCGGAATAAATACGATTTATGTAATAATACATAATAACAAAAACACCAACCAGCTGCAAGTTCTCGGTGATGGAAGGAAGAGAATCAAGAGTGGGATCAAAACACCAAAAAAAATATTGGAATGAAGAGAGAGAGAGGAAAAAGATGACTAGAACTGTACATTATTCTAATAACAATAATAATAATAATTGTATACCCAACGCAGTAGCCTACACAGCAGTGCGCTTTAACTTTAATGACGGCGATGTCAAGCGGACTTACAATAAACCCCAACATAAAATTCATTATTATTAATTAAACTATGACACGTAGGCCTTATTTGGGTGGTCCACTTTCTGCACGATATGGCTAAGGGTTAAACAACAACAACAACAACAACAACAACAATAACTACGATAATTAACAACCAAAAAAGACAAAACTATACCATTCACTACTCGTCAGAACTGCTTCTGTTCAGAAACAAAACTGAGCATAAACATCAACGTCAGAGGGCGACATTTACAAAAATGCGGGTCGATTGTTTATTAACCTTTTTTTTTTTTAGAGCGTGAAGCATCTTGTACGGTACTTGTAATTCAAATTGTAATGTTTGTAAGATCTTTGGTAAAATTGAGCGATCAAATTGGTCCCAATTCCTGTTACATTTATATTAATAAAATTATAATATTATTGTATTATATTAATTTATTTCCCAAGAAGCAACCAGAGAAAACTTTGCGTCAAACAATATACATAATAATATCAGGGACCTTATTTGTTTATAAGGAGTCAGTTGAACTTCTGTCAAGATAAAAACAGGGACTTCGTTCACCACATACTTTCTGGTCTCAGAAGTCAGTGAACATAAGCCAGTGATTTCAGCCCACTCATCAATGCAGCCCTTGGTCCCTGTTGGCATCTCTATCGTGGAAACTACAGCCATGCATTGACATAGTAAAGAACATGATTAAGATAATAAACCTCAGTGTAAGGCATCGATAGGTAGGAATGACTCGGATCTCAACAATTAATATTGTGGTAGGCAATCACTCAATTATTCACACCTCATCGGAATCGACATGGTGTTCATTGAAAACACTAGAACGTGTTCTTTTAAGACACTGGTTGATTACTAACCGCATAAAATACATCTTGCACCCCCCCCCCAAAAAAAAAGGTCAACAGACGTGTTGTGGGAACATCTGTGCTGATCTTAGCACCAACGTCAACTGACTTTTGTTATTGTTAGTGTTGTTAGCATATTTTTCTCTCCCGTCTGATGTCAGTTTTTACGAAGGACCGTTAGTTCTGCAGCTCGCTTGTTGTAAATGAACCCTCAATTATACAACTTAAACAAAGATTCTACGACAGAGTCTGTATTACTATTCCGTTCGACGGACAATATCGCTCTGAAACTTGTACCACAGTGCAGTTGTGTACATCAATGGCGTGTAAAGTTCCATATCTACAGCGACGTCACAGATTGGCGTAAGCAGGTTACGTTATTCGGAGCGGGAAATTGGATCCACAAACATGCTGACAGGGGACAGTTCTTGTTCACAACGTCCGTCTTGCTTCCAGCGATTTTGTGCGCATTGTTGTGTTCAATATGGCGCGTCGTGACAATCTGACGATATAACTAGGAACTAGGCCTATCAGCTGTTTCCCCCTGCTGCTGTAAGTTGTAAAATACGGGTGTCAATTCAAATGCGCAAGAGAAACCAAAACTCAAATCCCATAATTTAATCAATTAAAGGTTGCTGGTCAAATTGGATAAAATCACACTGAGCAGTGGAAAACGTGATATTTTTAAAAAATAATAATGTGAAATGAAACAAACAAAAGTTCAATAAATGATAGCAAATCAAGGCAAACCACCTTCTGCTCTCATGCCATTTAGTCAGAGCAGGATGTTTGGTATCTTTTCTCGCAATGGTAACAAGTTCGTTCATGTTTGGAGTAAGGCTCTGTATTGTAAAGATCCTTACGTTGGAATGCTTTGAGTTTGACACCTGTGCTGTAAAACATTTTTTTCTTCTTCTGTGGTCTTACATCAAACAAGAAAAATATTCAGGGCATTATCGAGGTCACTGTGTCCATCCCAGTTGCACTGCAGGCGTTTTATATGTTTAGGAGATTTCAAACTGTTGCCTAAATAGTTGTTTTTTTAAAGACGTCTACGCCAACATCCCAAGTGAAAATAAATAAAAAGGGGCGTTCTACTACACCAAAGTTATTTGTGAATCATCAGTTTCAAAAGTGTTCTTTCTGGTGAAAAGAGTGTTGTGTCTCTTCATATATCTTGACTTACTTGAAGAGGGATAGGCTAAGGGAAGAGGCGCATTCAAACAGAAACAATGGAAGCTTTCATTGCAGACAAATAAAAGAAAACATTTTACAAACATTCCTGATAAAACTGATCTCAGAAGATACAAACATATAAAACAATACCTCTATGTTGTTTGTCCTCGCATATTATGCAGCAAATAAAAACAGATATTGGTATTAAAAACATGTAAGAGTAACAAATTACTAAGCTTATTTTACACAACGTCAACAGTTTCTGATCGAATGTAACAGAACATGATGTCTAGTTGACAGGGATGAGATAGAGCTTTTGATGATAAAAATATTTATAATTAAATCATACAAAAAACTCAAAACAGCCCATGCGGGTTGCTGTTGGGTTGCTGTTGGGTTGCTGTTGGATTGCTGCTTGTTTTTTTAAAGCACTAAAGTGCTACAACTGCATTCTATTAAAGATAACAACACAGGCATAATTCCAAGCAAACAACCAAAAAAAAAAAGGAACTGACTACACAGCAACCCAATAAACAAAGTAAATAAAAGCAGATATTTTGATTAAAAAGCCATACGAAAATAACAACAGATTATCCCAACAAAACCAATTTACATAATATGTAATTATATTATATTGGAAAGAAAAATTCTCCTGGTCGCCATTGAACAATAAAATAAATATATGACAAGATCGCTCTTTTCTTTCGCCATCACTTCCTCATTACTTTTGCGTGAAAACTGATACAATATTTCTTTGGTGTCATGATTCATGGTCTGTAGAACACTGGAGTCAGCTCAGATCAACGCTTTCTGGGACTCGCAACGTTGCCCAAGATACATTTCAGCCCTTTTTTAAAAACAAGATGGAGCGGGTGGTTGGAGGAGGCCACTGGTGGTACTTCCTACTTCTTTACTTTCCCTCCGTTGTTTCCGTCTGTCTGCCCGTCTTACCCCCCCCCCCCCCCCAGCACTAAATGACCATTATTGTGTCGATGAGCTTCTCTTTACTCAAACAAACAAACGATTGAAAGATGGAATGTTGTATGCACACAGAGTTTACACAGCTGCACTTGGACATGTGGCAATGCGTAAAGACTCGCCATTAACTCTTTCTGCACCACGAACTACCACCACATAGTAAAGAAATTTTATTTCCAATAAAATCACTGATGTAATGGAGCATGGAGCAGAAAAATGTTAAAGTTAAAGGCATTTAGCTTAATCAACTTGATGTCTTTTTCTGATGCTCATGCCATTGTGCCCATTATTTTTTAAAAATCACTCGACTGTAACAACGCAAAACATTTTATTGGAACCTGGAATACCCAGTTTGAGCTAGAAAGGATAATATTAATTAATGAAGCCAAGAAAATCCCACTGAAAATTACTACACACTACAAAGCCAACCGCTAAGTCCCCTTTCCTTTAAAATAAAAGCAAGATAAGTTAAAAATCGTGCAACTTCTACCTTAAGCTAATTGGTATAGTTAATTTAAAAAAAATATTGACCTAAGCAGTCATTGTCCAAGAGAAAACAAGAATAGGAACAAGACCTTAGAAAAAAAATCGAGCATACTCGTAATGACTGAATCATTTCAGCCAAAAATCCAGTCAGTTGGAAGCACTAGAAACTACATAGAAAGCATTTGACATAGTAGATTTATATCAATTTCGACATTGGAAGCTATTATTTTTTCGACATTTATTGACATACATTCCCACACCGGAATGAGATAGCCGTATAGCTGTTCACTGAAGATTTTCCGTTCCTTTCTCCAGCCTGAGGAAAATACCAGCCCATGGCGCATTCTCGTCTTGTTGGGAGGAAAATGAGGAGTAACAAACTATAATATCAATAATAATAATCATTATCTGCTGCACTTGTCTACACAGGCCAATACGACACAGTAAAGCCGTGGTCCTGGAGGAACTAAAGAGATTTATCTCCGATACAAATTGCTATAACCTCAGGATTGCAAAGTTCTACCTGCTCAGTACCCAGTTTTGAGAAACGTGACGCACAAATTTTTGAGTTTCACAAATACGGTATGTCAAACTTTTTCGAATGCAACTCTTTTAACATCGTGATAACGACTCCAAATATTCTTACGATTTTGATAGAGCAAATGGAGTATTTTGCTTTCTGACCTCGTGGTTTTGTAACTGAAAACGCCGAAAAATATCAGACAGAACTTTTTTAATTCTGAGGTTGTGAAATGCCGAGGAGGTGAAATTTTTTAGTTCTAAGACCACGGAAAGCCTTGTGTAGGCCTAAGTCTTGATGTAACAACGACGAACTCGATGGCAACTATAACGAGCAAAATCTAATGACGTGTTGTGATGATGTCAAACCATATTATTATTATCATTATTATTATTATTATTATTATTATTATTATTATTATTATTATTATTTTATCGGACGAATTTTGTGGTATGAGGATACTCAGTGGAATGTTTGGTAAGATCGTGAGTAATAAAAGTAGCGCCGTAGAATAATTAAACAAACTGTCGTTCTTTGCGTCTTGTTCCCAGCAGTCGTTTGGGCCTGATTGACTCGGTGTCTGTCTCTCGAGTCTGTCCTCTCTCACAGTCAGTAGTCAGGCCCTCACATTTTGGTGTTCATGCCCTGGGGAAGAGAGGGGGAACAGTGAGTGAAAACATACACACAGACAAACACTAATAGAACCGAACAAACACATATACCCACACACAGACAGACAGACACACAGACACACACACACACACACACACACACACACACACACACACACACACACACACACACACATACACACTCACACATACATATATAATAAACTCGTTGCAATAGTGCGTACAGTGAAACACACACACACACACACACACACACACACACACACACACACACACACACACACACACACACACACACACACATACACACACTCTCACACACGTACACAAGCGCGCGCGCTCAAAGAGAGAGAGTGTGTGTGTGTGTGTGTGTACGTGTGTGCGCACGTGCGTGCGTGCGTTTGCTCGGGTCCGTGTGAGTGTGTGTGTTTGTGTGCGTGTGTGTGTGTTTGTGTGTGTGTGCGTGTGCGTGTGCGTGTGCGTGTGTGTGCGTGCGCGTGTGTGCGTGTGCGTGCGCGTGCGCGTGCGCGTGCGCGTGCGTGTGTTTGTATTGTATCAATACCACAAACAACATATTATATTGACAACACCAATACAATAAAACTGCTGAGTGCTGAGCTGATGGGGCACACACCAACTAACACAAGAATTAGGAGTCCAAAGAGTGGGCACCTCGGTGGTGTGTAAGGCTATTCTAGGGTTACGTCAAAATCACGATGATTTAATAATGTGACGATGAAAAGAAGAGAGGTGACATAAAAAAAGAAGTAATGTAATACAAATATAAATATAATATATTAACATAAATTCCATTTATTGATTGATTTATTAAGTGACATTAAAAAAGAAGTAATGTTATATAAATATAAATATATATTAACATAAATTCCATTTATTGATTGATTTATTAAAGAGACAATGTTTTCACGATACTGATAAAGGAAACGACGATACACCGATAGTACAAATCAAATCCAGACGTCTTATTTATTCATTTATTTATTCATATTTTTATTTATTTATTTATTTATTACTGCGTCAAAAAATGTTTACTTTTGCAGAATTCCTTTTGACATGATGTGAGCTCTATACTAGTCACGCCTTGATAATCGTTCTGTCCCGAGTCAGTTGTGCAGATACAGTTTAAAGAGACCAAAGACTTGAATAATTATAATATCCTAGACTGAGCACTGTCGTGGCCGCCACTCTTTGCTATACTATACATAATGTATAAAACCTTTTTTTTTTTTAAACTTCGCTACGCCAGTCTGAGCGTGTTCCATGGGTGCACAAAATGCAGAGCGAAACACAATCTCGTTACAAGTACTATACAGCCGAGTGTATGCAGCTGAGAAAAGACCGAGAGGGCCCCTTACTATCATCCAGCCTAGTTCAACCCCAACCATCATCCCCTGCCCCCTCTGCAACAGACATTTCCGAGCGAAGATCGACCTGATCAGCCATCTCCGCACACACCCCACCCCTCCAGTGATGTGGAGTCAAGGTCATCTTCGCCAGCGAAGGACGAACATCATCACTATACTGTCGAGTGTATGCACAAACAGCCTATTCCCGTTGCTTTTCATTTGGTTCCAAATTGAGTCAAATTGTGCACTCCTGATGAACCGGAATGACATCACAGTGCGCAGTCTTATATATATATATATATATATATATATATATATATATATATATATATATATATATATATATATATATATACATATAAAGAAAATACAACTCAGAGGCAGAGAAGGAATGGGGTCTTCTACATCTGTGTTGACATTGGCTTTGCCGAATACCCTGGGAGTCACACACCCACAGCAGTATCATAAATGATATATAAGACTCACCCCACCCCACCACCCCTCTTTTTCCCAATTTACTTGGAAAACAAACGGTTAAAAACAACCAAAAAACCCCATTCCGTACAAAAAAAACAAGAACCCCCCCCCACAAAACAACCAATGTTGAACAGAACCTTCAGGAACAAAAACGAAAAAAACCCAACAACAACAACAACAAAAAAACAAAAGCGAAGGTAAAGCAGAAAAACGGAATGAAAATGGAGAGGACATAAGCATGAACATAATATAATATTATAGATCTAGTAATATAACCCTTCACCGTTAACTTGCATTAAGCAAAAACGCATTCGTTATAAGCATTGCTATTATGAATAATATGTGCAAAGCAGGCGTTAAATCAAGCAATATGGAAGATTTAATGAGTGGAGTAGCCTACACAAATATACAGTTGTGACATTGTCAAAGTATATATTTCAACAGTGAACAGTTTGTAAATATAATATAAATCAAATTACTATCCCCTTATTCGTGTTTGACAAAATTACAAATGACTTTTTCTCATACCCACAAGACTCTGTTCTCGTAGATATTTAATAATTTTTCTTTCTCCCTTTCTTCTTTTCTTTCTTTTTTTTTCATTCTATCTATCTAGCTAAGATTAAGTTAAAAGAATCATATTATCTTACATTGTAACAACCAAGGACACCAATACTGAAGCATAATATTTTTTTTTCTTAAAAAAGATTGTTTAAAAATAATTTTGAATTTCCACCAAAGAGTGAACCAGATAAACACACACAACATATGCCTGGAAAAGGGAGACACTGTAGTTGCTGACAACATTCAAGAGAACTACATCAACAACATACTACAAACATCTTCCGTAGATGCGTGTCTTGTGTGCGATCCTTGGCGTTAGTCGAAATGGGATATCTGGCGAGCGAGGGAGAGCAACAAGTCAGTTTACAGTACAGTTCAAAGAAAGCTGTTCCCGCATCCCGTCCGGACATTATGGATTGGCTTGTTAGTGAGACAACTTCCTGGGCCTTCGGCATATTATTGTGGTAGGGTGGCCAGTTCCTTTCCACGCCGCCTTTACTTCCCCAACTCGAAGTCAGGTATCCATTACTGCTCGGTGGGCAGGAAGGGGCGAAAAAAGTCCGTGTCCGAAGCGAGGCTCGAACCCGGACTTTCCGCTCCACCACCGCACCCTCCACAGTACAGTTTACTACAGGATGTTAATATCTCTGAAAAAGTGATAATTCGCTGAGATTATATGCAAGGTTCGCTTCATCTGAACAGTTTTGTGCTTTCATGCCTAAAACAAAGTAAATAATTCACATTTTCGAGTATCCAAAGTGGTTGTGGTGCAAAAGTTAAATTCCCTTGTTTTGTCACCCCCCCCCCCAAAAAAAAAACAAAACAAAACAAAACAACCAGCGCGAGCTGGAATCCACCATGGCTATGAGATTTTCAGATTTTGTCGAGGACTCCTGTCTTTTTGCTGGGACGTATTCCACACAGTCTAGGCAGGCCCTTGAAGGGTGGGCAGAAACAGCCTGCCTCCAGAATGACTTATATTGTGTCAATGACGTACAGTTGATGTGTGTTCAGGATCATGAAAATTGCTACAAAGGAAAAAGTTTTTTTTCAAAGAAAGAGAGGAAATAAAAAGAAGAAACAAATTAAAAGAAAAGAAACACCGAATCCCAAAGCATCTGCGGTAGCCTGGTCCAAAGCAAACAAGCAAGAGAATATTAACATGAGAAGTTCGGATATGAGAAAACCTATATATTATAGTAATTGTAGCCTCTGCAGTGACTAGTCACTGCATAGATTATGGTTTCAAGAGATGTTAGGAAAGGATGGACATTTTAAAAAATGGAAAAGTTGGCTTAGAAAGTTTAGAAAGTAAGACCAGCAAATTTGTTTTCGAAAACATTATTCATTTTCCCTTTTAAAAAAAGGCGCAGATACAAGACATTGATTATAATTATAATTTATAAAGCTGCTTTTTTTTCGAAGATTCCCAAATTTTTATAGTATTACTTTCAGAAAACGTGACGGTGAGACAAAAGGTAGAC